GGGCGGAATGCAAGGATAATTTAGAGAATGGTGACGTGGAAAGATCATCGGATCCAGTAACGTTTTAAAACGAGCCGTTACGATGGTAGTCGAGGAACGACGAATGACTCACGTTGGCCTAGGTCGTGGTAAAAATCGTTCGCAGTCGCCTCCGTTCGAGTCTCGATTCCCCTGAGCTTTCTCTCGTTTTCGCGTGTCGAGGAAGGGATAGGTGATGACTCTCTGAGGAGAACGTGTAAATGCCCTATTCGGATCTATTCGGATGGAAAATTGACGAATTGCGGTATTACGCGCGAGAACGTATTATATATGTATGTATATCGAGCGTTATTCGGAGAAAGCCCGGAGCGAATTAAGAGCGACGATAATAACGTTCGATTACATTCTACGTAAGCGCAATCATGAAAATCACAGTTCCGGCCGAACGTGTTCGGAGGCCACCGAAGCTGAGGAGCCTCGAGTTGAGTCGAGGTCGACGTCCGGACGCAACAAGTGCTGCTGCGACTCTCGCTGCGCTCGCGATCCTCCTCGATATCGTACCGAGATTTTCAACGATGCCCCGCTTTTTCGCGTTAAAAAAACATCCTCGAACACCCCCTTCCGCCTCTTCCCTCCGAAACGGAAATACTCGCCGATGAGATGGGAGATCGACGAAGAATCGTTGTCCCTGACTTTGCCCGTTTCCCTCGTACGAGGCCGGAGAGACGAGAGATCCGCCAAGAGATTCGATTTGGGACGTGTGCCGGCCGGAAGTCGAAGGACCTCCGCCGAGGTTACCGCGCGATCATCGGTGTACCGTGCAAAATTTTCGGTCTAGAAGACGGTCAATCCGGCGCGGAGCCTCGGGTTGGGTCCGAGGTCGACGCCCGGGCGCAACAAGTGCTGCATTACGTACGTATACGCTGTTACACCCCACCCCACTCACTCATACAATCGAACGGCCGGCCTCCCCCCTCTTTCCCCTTGTGCAGGAAGCCTTCTCCCTCTCGTTCTTTCTCTTTCTCTCTACCTATCTCCCTGCCGTGGCTTACCACACTATGTCGCTCGCGCGAGAGAGCATCGACGCACGACGGAAAGAGAGAAGCAAAGCCCTACACCACCACTACTGTATCGCCACGGAGCGCTCACCGGGCGGAGAGATGAGGACGAGCGGAGAAAGAACGAAAGAGAAAGACGGTGAATGCCGCGGCGAGTGGCAGCAACGGCAGAGGCGCGCGCCCGTGCCTCCTCCTCCCCCTCCCCCTGCGCGCACCAACGTCGCCTGTAAATATAAAACTGCACTGGGTCAGGGATCCGTGATTTATCGGCTGCCTCGTGTAATTGGCTGCCGGCCAATAGATACATACCCCCCCGGGCTACCCGCTGGGACATGAAGGGAACGCGCCTATCTCTCTCTTTTTCTCTCTCTCTCTGTCTACTTAACTTCTCCACCAACCCCTCTGTCCTTCTTCCCCTTTTCCCTTGTGCTTTCTGTGCAGCACATGCCCCGCCTCCCCTTGCTTCCGCCACCCTGTGTCGCGCGGCGGCCATGAGAGGAGGATGGTGGCGAAGCGTCGTACCGGTGCCGAAATTTCGTTGGCGAACCCGCTCGGTAACCGCGCCACTTTCACTGAAAATCTAAGCCGACCTCGCTTGGCACCGTGTCAGAATCACGGTTAAGAAGCGACGCGGGCCTTCGGTCAAGTTTCGACTCGGGAAACATAGAACGCCACGCGAGAAACCTGGTACACGTCTGATGTAATACCCTATGTATCGAGGGGTTCTATTCGAGTTTTATTTCGATTTTTATTTTTAAAAAGATCGCGAATCGGAAGTTATAATTCAACGATTTTCTCGTTATGATAATAAAAAAATTTGTACAAGAGCTGTTTAATAATGTTTGGGATATCTTTGGATATTACGCGATGTAAATTATGCAAAATTATTGGATGGAGTATGTTATCTGTAACGTTTTATAAAATTATAATAATACTATTAATAGTAATGATAGTAGTAAAGATAATTTCTTAGACAGCCCCTTTCGTGACGCTAGAAAAGAAAGAGGAAAAAATGGCGCACCCGATAACCCTATACACGCGCCGATCGAAGACTTCCGCACTTGCGAAACAATTCGGCAGACCTTCTGTCGTGGATTCCACGTTAACGTTTGCACAATACGTAGCCGAGGGAAGGTCTCGGCGAATGCTTCGCGACATTAGGTATGATATGCTGGTACAGAGGCACGCGATAAAAGGACAGTAGCGAAGAAGGAAACAATGAGATCGAGGGGGCTTCTACCAGTTGACGCACTTTCGCGGAGGTCAAATTCCACACGACTATGCGCGCGCGGCTCGCGAAGACATACCGACGACCTTCGTGGTATTCGTTGCATCGTAAATAAAGTGTGCCAATATCTGGGATATATAGAGTGCACAGTCGGCATCGTTTGTTCGCGTCCCATTAGTGCGATTTAGAAAAGGGAAAGAAGAAAAAAAAAATATGTCTGAATGATTCATTCGAAAGAATCTCGCGAATATGGGGCGAATTATCTTACAGTGGACGATTCGTTCGAACGCATAACGCGTATTATTTCTGAGAAGTTGATCCGATGCACAAAATGAAACGTGCGAAATTTCTCATTTTTTGCGGCAAAGGTACGGTAAAGCCGTAATAAACATGTATAATGCTTTATAAGCGTTATATTTGTATAAATCGATTAGATGTTTCGGAAAGTGGGAGAGGTTATATGGCCGACGAAAAATTGCACGAAACACGAAGTACGTTTCTTCGGATATAAAAGAGATGTCTAAACTCATAGACTCTTACGCGACTTCCCTTTTCCATTTCCGCGTACGTACATCGTTCGTGTTTGTTAACCGTAAGCATATTGAAATTTGATACCACGTGCGAGTTATCATGAATGAAACTGCGACCTCTCAACGATGCGAAAGTTTCACAGGGTCGCCATCTCTCGTGAAACATTCAAAGATTGGGTCGACAAAATGATATAACCTCACTACTCCAGACGACAATAAACGAGATAATCACCACGTGACTGGTTGAGAATATAACGACAATCTTACCTTGATGGGATAAAAATCGTTGCCTCGAACATTCTCCTTGCTTCGCATCGGTAGTCCGATCATTTTTCTGAAATAATTAAAGAAAACGAAAACAGAAGACATCAGCCGACTGTATCGGCACGCACGAACGCGATACACACTTTCGATTGTTTTGATAAACCCGACATTACGGCTTCGAATTTCGAAACATTGTCGTAAATTGGTGCTTTCGTGCTTGAAAGCTTTATTTTTGTGGAATAAAGCGCTTTCAGCGGATCAAATTTGACACTTTTTACGTCCAAACTCTCGTCGGACGTCGAACTGCTTTCGTCGTCTGCCATGTCAAAACTGTCCGACTTGATTTTGAGCGGGCGATTTGAAATTTATTGTCTCGATGAATACTTTCTTTCGAAAATAATGTCATCCATACCGTATTTATGTATATCAGCTTGAAAAGAAAACAGGTGTTCATAGTAACATTTTCGCTTTGAAAAATTTCTATTGATTATATAAAGAAAGGAACTAATAAAGTTTCATTAGAGAGTTCTCTTTCTATGCGGGTATATAGATATTTGATCGCTTCATTTTCGACGTAGAGCGTTGCTTCCGATTACATCGAACAGCGAGCGATATTTGAATAGGTAGAGGATGTTAACCTCCTCGCAACGATAGAAACTTTCTTTCGCGGCTGAGGATTACGTAAAGACAGCGGCGTGTAGAAGCTGCATAGAAATGCATCGGCAGCAAGAGAGTGAGGTTACGCGCACAGGAAGTGAAACAACTTACAAGCCAGAAAGAAAGTTTTCACTCGATGTTTTCACTTTCATGGAAATGCCAACGTTACTTGCTTACACTGTTATATGCTACTACACGAATCAACTTCTAATTATTAGAATCGACGGTTGCTTCGCATCGACGAATCGAATGATAGGTTCAATTGTTTCGATGGTCCGCCATGATGAAATTTATCGATCCATCCTTTATCGACGAGTATATCGAGCTGAATATCGATAGTTGCGATCTCTAACGGAACAGTTACAAAATTAACTCGCAAGAACATGTTTGTTTCGTGTAACGACAGAAAGTAATTTTTAAATGTAATTTTAAGAGTTGTTCAGTGAAAATTAAATGAAATATGTTTGTTTTAGGGGAATCGAAGTAGCGCGTAAATTGAAAGAAAGAAATCTGAGGAGCAGAAAAAGAAGGAGGCGAAAAGTGGGGACGTTTCAAAGGTGGTTTTGGATGTTAGAAAGCGCGGGGGTGGCTAGAGAGGCCCCGCCGCAGGGTACGGGTCCCGATGCCGGTCCCCGTATCGCAAACCCTTACGCTGACCTCCACCCTCGTGCCCAAGGAGGAGTCAAACATGCCCTTCATAGACGACGAGCTTCTTTGGTGCCCTGACAATGACGGCAAAATGGTCGATTTAACGCAATGTCTCCAGGTTGGTTCGCCGTGATGATTTTTAATAATTAAATTTAAAAAATTCTAAGATTATAAATAGGCTTTATCGTTTTATCAGGAAAGCAGTACAGGGCAGTCAGTAGAATTTTCCCCCATGGAATTAAATGCCCTTGTAGGAACACCGGCTGCTCCAAATATGCCGGCAGAAGAGGGCGAAGGAATGGCTGGTGTCACAGGAGAAGAACCCTTTGACACGTTAGACACATTCCTTCGAGAATTGCAAGCTGATTTGGCTGAAGCCAGTCAACCAACGTCCACGACAACTTCCGTAACCCCTTCCTGTAGACGGCAGAGGTACAATATCGCAGCCGCAAATCCTTTGTTAGCAGGTAAATGAACAAAATTTGAAATATATTTCGAGAAAAGAATTATCGATCGTTTATTATCGATTTCGTTCCCGATAGAGAAATTAGCAGCTCCTTCGTCGCAAGCATCTCCAACCTCTATCCCGTACGCAACGAGGGCGGAAATTAAAACGGAAAGTATTCAGCCTGAAACAACGAAAGGTAAGATGCACAAATTTGCTCGTAATTTTACAGATTTTCAAATCTCTTTTGCAATTCTCTCTTTATATCATAAAACGGTCACTTTAAAAATATCTATATTACCGACAGTAGTTTCATCAACATATATAATAAGGTTTCTACTTTATCGACAAAATTGTTTCTTTACCGATCATGCTGACGTATCGATTTACCATCATAAATGTCGTTCTGTCGGTATATTAGAAATTCTTCGTACTCGTGTATATCTTATATCGATACGAGGAAAATGTATACATCGAACCCCCCCCCCCCCCC